ATCTTGGAACGAGTAAACTTTATCGACGTCCAAGCGAAAGATCTAACTCGACTACTCGATTATCTCAATAACGTTCGCCCAAGTCCTCGACCGGGACCGTCGATCTCAAATCCCCCAACAAGCTTGGTTCCAAGAGTTCCATGCAATGACTTCGTTGGCAGAGATAAGATGTTGGAAGAATTACAAAGACAGATGAATACGACAGGCCAGGTTGCTCTAGATGGGCCTCCTGGAATTGGGTGAGAATGCATTTTCTGTTGTGTTTTTTTCTATAAACCAACTGACACCATGCATAGTAAGTCGGAGATTTGTCTTCAGTATGCTCGGAAACTCCAAGATAAAGCTCTGATGAAATGGATTTTCTGGGTCGATGGTAGAGACCCGACAAGCTCATTTGCAAACATTGCCAGATATCTTGGTCTTGATCTTTCGAACCAAGAAAGCCCTGCCAGCGCGGTACTTCAATGGATAACCAAATCCAAAGATGAGTCACTCATAATCGTAGACGATGTCGACGATGTAGATTCTGTGGAACAATCATATTACACTTCCAAAAGACTTCTAGAAGCTCTCAAAGAGTCACACAGTGAAGTTTCCAAGCGAAATAAGTCAGAACCCTTAGGATTTGCGGTTGCGTCCCTCTCTCCGTCGTCACTCAAAAATATCTACTCACTAAGAACAACGAAAGTCACACCACAAAATCACCGTGGAAACCTCCTAATCTCATCGAAAGCGCTCATCGCACAAAATCAAACGATGTTTAAGAGACGCTTACCCGTGGAGACAGTTACTCCTTTGCCTATTCCAGAAGCTACCAAACTTTTACAGGACCTGATTCCAAAATCATTGCTATCTTCTAAAAGCGACTATGAAGTTATAATAAAACTGGTTGGTCAAATGCCTGGGTCTCTTAAACAAGCAGCAAGTAGGTGTTCCAAGCTTTTCGTGCCAAATAATTGCAATACCTGACTTCATTCTCAGAATATATTGAAGATACCAGCACGACGACCGGACAATATATTTCCGAGCTCAAAACCCAAAACTGCGACACACCCACAAGCTCTGATGACGACGCTCAAATTGCAGCAATAAGAATCTCGAAGACATTTTCCAGTAATAAAATGTTCAAATCACTTCTAAGTGTTCTACGCAGTGCACATGTTGAAAACGGTAAAATTATGAAGTCTGTGGATGCTCAACTTCTACAGTATTCTTCTGATCTAGAGCGAGTTTGGTCGAAGCGGACAGCTCAGGGTACCCAGCCTGACAATACACTACCTGCTTTCATCAAAGAGCACCACAAAAGAATATCTTGCTTACTAGTTCCGGGGGATCCTATTGAACAGACTGATCATTTTTCATTCGCGTCTCCCCGCCTCTCTCCAATCAACCCTCCAGATTCGGGTATCTCCCGAAAGTCTTCATTCTCAGTAAGAGGACTTTCTGGGAAGATGTCAAGGCAAAGCAGTATCACCGAACAGGAGAAGCAGATGCTAACTTCCAAAGTAACTTTGACAGATAGGGTGCGATGTGCCACGATTGATGAATCCAAAAACCTCGAAAGATTCTATTTCAACGAAGAGGCGTTTGGTCGATTTGTGATCAATGTACTCCATGATTTGGATACACTTCATCGAACTGAACACGACTCACCGCTATTTTCCCAAGCTGAACATATATCGGAGCTAACATCTCTTGCAATCAAGGCGTGGAGTTCATTCTGTAGAACTACAACCGTTACATACCATGTGGAATGGGAACTTCTCCAAGTATTGGATAACGAATTTTATCCTGATCAACATCTATCCGCTATTGCTGCAATAAGTGGAAGTGCTGACCTTGCCGAGATTATCTCTTGCGGAGAGTACATTTCGAAGTTTTGGAAACATGGGTCTCATTTGCTAGATGCATTAGATGAGCCCAAATGTCAATGGGGTCGCCATGAAAATAGCAGTATGTGAATTTCTCTTGTTTGCTTCAATACCGCAAGGAAATGCTAACTTGTTGTAGCGAAAATCAATGATGGAACTATCATTGACATTTCCGAGTCAAAAAATGAGCTTGGCCGACCACATATACTCAAGGTGACAGTTCAAGGATCGGAAGAAGTCCAATCAGATATCGCTCAAACTCTAGCATGGTTGGCAGCTGCCGTTAGATACTCAAACCACAAGAACCTGCATGAATCTCGATCATCTATTGGTTTTTACCTTGAAGACGGTGCTTTAAATTGTACAATTAATTCCCTCCCACTTACGAGTTTGGTCAACTTCTGCAAAGAAAGCTCCTGCTGGCATGCTCTTTTTATGCACAGCGTCCTGACGATTGGCTATCCACCATCCAAGCCAAGAGGATCTGGTCAAGGCCTAAGTATTCCATTTCATCTATTACGGGATCTAGCAAAAATCACCATTCTTACCGACGGTTACAAAGGTTTCATCATACAAGGCTTTAAGTTTATTTTAGTTCCTGTTAAAGATCTCACCAAGGAGAGAGCTGAAGCCGGGCTCGGGTGCCCTCATGCAACAATTCAATGGCACCTCATTGATTATCGATCTTCCGACGTGTCGTCTGAGGCATTGCTTAATAAGGTTGATAGTGGAATACGATCAGTGGCCAAAAACGAGGCAATGTTAAAAAGCTTTATTGAACCGAGTAACCACGCATTCCTAGGTTGGTGTGGAAAGGTCAATATTCATGTGGGCACAGATACAAGGAATGTTCAAAACGGAGCTGTAAAATTTCAGACACCGGGAACAGATAGAGAATCTGGTTATGCACCCCCTTATAGAGATCCCCGGCAGGGATTCTTGCGATCAAATGCAAGAGATGCCGAGAGAGCGATCGCCTTCGCAAGTATATCTGCAACTGCAGGTGGCGGAGGGCATGGTGCTACAGGGGGTGCAGGAGCAGCTATTTCTGTGAGCGAAAGACGCGATGCTGCTGTTGTAGGCAGGTCTGATTCACTCAAGGAAACACTGCAGACTAGATCAAAGGATAATATTGTTCTCTATGATACGGAGACGCGGCGTGCATGGATGGTTCCCTATCTGAATGTTGTATTACATTTGGTACATCTCAGGGAACTTGCTACGACTTCCGATGGTGAACATTCGAAGGTCAAAATGCCATTCGCCGCTCAGCATGCAGGGGGTTCCGATGGCCCCGCTTGGGATGCCATCCAGCCGCATCTTGATCTGCTAGATACCGAAAACTTCAACAAGAAAAGACTCAACCGTTTGAACAATCACTTTACAGACAAGGAACTTAGGCTCAAAAATGCGTTGAGATTATCTGATCATTTGGAATATTTGGTAAATACGATCGACGAGGCATTGAAAAAGAACGTTGCATTACGAAGCAAGGAGATGTCACTTTTTCACCATTCTAAGATTTATGGATTTGAAATGGAAGAATTATCCTACGCTGCCTCACTTGGGTATAAAGAACAGAAGCTCCATCATACTTCAGGGGGTTGGGCCAAGATGCGACGCAATAGAGAGCAAGTATTTTTCTGCTCAGGAATTGGGGATCTTATCACACCATTGATTACGCCAGAATCAAATTGTAGGCTCTGCATAAAGTAAGTTTCCTCCCATTGAGATCACTCACACCTCGGGTCTGTCAGAGTGTCTGATATCCGACATTAAGAGATTCTTGATTCTTGAATGTAGTTGGAAAATTTAACCCATTTAGAACATTCAAATTATTTGCATCATTTAATCCATTTGAATGTTAAATGATGTTCAAATAGCTTTCACATATGTCGGGCATTCTGCCACCCCATCACCCCTTTTTACTCAAGCGTTGAAGTCCTGATCATATATTAATATTATTATTTCGCAGATGCCAATCAGTTCCAACAGGTATGGACTACCTCGTGGCACCAGTAAGCTGCCTCAGTACTTGTCAACACTCCAGGAAAACAAATCGCGACGAGGAATCTCATTTCAAGATCCAGATCAAAAACAGTCGATTTTATGAATGGAAAATCAGCGAAGAGCACTTTTCCAATCCATGTCCACATTACGATTCAGATGACTTGGATGAGATAGATCTTCAGCATCAAAAGACCATCCGTTTATCGAAATCACCACAGAAATCCAATCTCGAAGATTTCAGCCGTTACATGGACGGCGCCGTCATATTCGGTCAACGCGCGAGATCCGGACCCCTAAAATCATACGGTGCAAGTTTTAGAAAATGGATGACGGGGCTTACCAAGAAGAAGAAATCGTCGGTTTCCGAACCCAAGATATTGTTCCCCAACACACCGTCCTCGATGGAAAATTCAAGCATCGATGAGCTACCATCTATTCCCGCCGTGCCTTCGCAACCTGGATCCGAACACATGGGCTCAAAAGGAAGACTTGGGAAACACCCCCTCACCATATCCACGGCATCCGAATCGTCCTACGAGAAGACGCACGCGACAACCACATTATCACCTTCAGTAGGAAACCGTGATATTTCTCGCGGTACGACGCCCGAGACGGCATCGCCTCCGAGTGTGGATGGGTTTGCATCGGGGTTTAAGAGGAAGGCCACGGCGAGTGAGGTTAAGGATGTTGAGGGGGATTTGGGAGGATTTGGGGCGTGGGATGACGTGAAGGTTGAGGGGAGGAGAAAGGAGAAAGGAGAAAGATGAATGAATAGAGTACTCCGTAATGCTGGTCTTATCGAAGAGTGGTTATGCGTAACCTTTCTTGTCTTTTTTATTTTTTGGAAATCTTGTAGTTAAACTATTCTATTCTTATTAGTAATGAGATGAGCATGAATTTGTAACCCTAGCTCCTACCTAACTCCTAGGTGTTCCAAACCATTGAATAACGGACACCCCATTATCATAAAATTCCTAATGGCCATCATCAGGGTCCATCACACATCCGGCTAAACCTCGGCCCATCCCACTAAAACACCCCACCACACCCCACGCTACCTCGTGCAGTACATGAACCCAAACAATAAACGTATCTTCATTCAAATGATCCATGAAATAAGCTCCTTTAACTCAGTGGTAGAGTGGGCGATTGCAGTAACACTCTGATAGGAGTCGTGAACAATTATCGCCAAGTCGCTTGTTCGAACCAGGCAGGGAGCTTTCTTTTTTTCTTCTGGATTGTTTTTTTTATTTTTATTTTTTTAGAATTTTGCATTTTGGAGGGTGATGAATGAGGATGGTGAGGTTTTGCAAGGGGAAAGGTTCCCGGAAGCTGCTGGGATGGGACGCGTACCGCTGGCCCCGCAAAGACACTAACCTCTTTTGGGACGCCGACATAGCAACCGCTCGAGGTCCTTTAACATATGGATAGTCTCGATGTTTGTTTATATACCTACCTACCTAGGCCCCTCCTATATCTATAGAAACGCACTGTAGGCTTTTTTCTATTTTATTCAGGAAGGGTAGGAACGGGAGGGTGGGGGGTAAGAAAAGTAAATGGGTATCTAAGGTATATATGTGTTATTACAAATATTATATCACAACGATGTTATTGATAATTCAACGATATTCAACCCATTAGATAGATTACCATCGGTAGGTAGAAAAGAAAAAAAAATGCATTTGTACTGCACTGCAATGTCTAGCTAGCTAGCCAGCTTAACTACGAGTACCTAAGTAGGTAATACACCAAAGCTTCCCGTCATTTACCCCCAGCTCCAAAACGCCTTTATAATCATCCTATCCCCCGCCACCCCATGATTTTTCCATTGTGGTGTCCATAGGTATATGCAATGAATAGTCTACCTAGTCGTTGATACTTCCATAATTGGCTCTCGGGCTGGGATGAGATTGGCTGGGATGAGATTCAGAAGTTCCTTCTTCCGATGCGATGGAGTGGGTGAGATCTTTGGTTTTGGGTCCGGTGTATGTCCTATTTTGGATTTGGGGTTGTGTTAGTGATGTTTATTTCTTTTTATGTGGGGTTTTAGATGTGTGTGGGAGAGGGGGAGAGGAGGAAAAGTGAGAAGAGAGGGGAGAGAAGAGAAAAGAAAAGAAAAGAAAAGAGAAGAAAAATGCATACCTCCTTGCACCAGCCCACCACCACCCCAAACTAAATACAGCAATGGCCGCACCCACCACAACCGCATAATTCATATTCTCCCTCCCAACGGGGCGATTCGTCGGTAACATCAGGACCACACTAATAAACACCACCCACGTACAAGCAATTGCATTGAGGGGTTTCTGCCAGATCCCGAGGGTGTAGGGACCGGGGATAAATTGCACGCGCGAGGCGTAGAGATTGCGGGCCAGGATGACGGCCGCGTAGGACATGTCGAGTGCCGGGGCCGTGATGTTGAAGATGGCGACGATGGTGGCGGTACTGCCGATGGCGATGGTGTTGAGGGCACAGGTGAGGAAGACGACGAGCCAGACTGAGTTGACGGGGGTGTGGGTGTAGGGGTTTACTTGGGCCCAGAAACTAGGGTGGGGGGGAGGGGCTTGTTAGCTCATTTTGTATTTATATGTATGTAAAGGAAGGAAGCAATGAAAATTAGAAGAGGAAGAGGAGGGAGGGTTGGGGACAAACTTTGAAAATGGAAATGCTCCATCCCTTGCAAATGCATATGCCATTCTGGTATCTGCAAGCATGGCAGAACATCCAGTGAAGAATTGAACGAGGATTACGAAAAACCACATTGCGGTTCCGCCTCTATTTCCTGCCGCGTTGAGGAAGATTTGCGCAGCTGGCATTCCTGTTGGTGAATGAATGATAGCGTCGAGATCTGTGGCGCAGAAACAAAATGTAACAGTGAGCATCCATCCGACGACTCCAGAGATTGTGACGGCCCATCGAATAGCCATTGGTCCACGAACTGCCGCATCGTGAGTTTCTTCTGACATGTGGGTTGTGCCATCATAGTCGGTCATGGTCCATGCTACGGATAAGAAAGAAAGGAAGAATGAAAATGGTGTTCCCCATCCAGATCCGTTGGTGAAGTGAGTGAAGACCCATCTTGCGGACTGTTTATTGGGGGTCAAAACCAGCAGAGCGATGCAAATTGCGATTGAAGCGAGGACATTGATGGGCATAAACCAGGTTACTATCTGGTGGAGACGTCTTGTTGTTAGAGAACATATTATTCCCATTATTATAAGAATCAACCATGAGATGAGGGCTGTTTCCAATGCAGTCCTACCAAGCTATTAGTATTTCGCATCTTGCATCTAGCTCTTCGACTTACGGCGAGTAGGCATATGTTCCTGTGATTTCATCAAAATGAGAGTTCATACTAACAGCCGCCAGGATAAGTTGAGAAACAGTATATCCCACGCTGGCAACACCTGCAGTTTGACCGAGTAGATTACACCATCCAATAACCCAGCTCCATATGGCGGCATGTTCATTTGGGACAACATTTTTCGTAACAAAGTACATGCCACCGGCCGTCGGATATGCCGAGACCAGTTCTGACACTTTGAATGTGTAAGCAGAAACCAGAACTTTAAAAGTGAAGATTACTAACCTGAACTTGATATGATTTGTGCCATTACTGACCCAAAGAACCACGCCCATACTGACGCTGCTGGTCCACCAATACTTAAAGGGCTTCCGAATGTAGCAGGAACTGAACCCAACACACCAAGAACGGAGACGGCATAGGATAATGTAGACCATTTTGAGAAATGCCTTCGAAGGTCCTTCACTATTGTTAGTGGATATCATACTGATTGGGGGATATGAAGAAGGAGGCTAACTTGAGTATAACCGATTCGATTCAATAGCCTCTCGTCATCGTCCTCAATGGTAGCCATAATTCTACCCCGCCTATCAGTGCTCTGTGGTTGGTTAATCACGGGAGCATCCGTGGTCTGAATACTAGCTTTCTTTTCCATGTTTTAGATACTACTATGATTGTATAATAGATCTTATATCCAAGGTTAAATAAAGGCCTCTGAGCGTTCTATGTAAAGTCACACACTCATGTGGGTTCATAGCAATATATATACATATGTAGATGGAGCAAAGGATACAGTAAAGAACTTACGCTAGTCAAAGAACACGCAATATCTTGTTTGGTAAATACTACTGCAGATATGAACAAGAATAGTCTGAGCGGTAAGGTTCAACAGATTGATTCTTTACACACCAATTCGACCCCAGATACTCCCTAGTTTTCCCTGTCGAATATTTCTACCAAATGTAGCAATTAGACGAATATGCCACCACCCGTTAACAATACAGCTTTTAACAAGGCTGGCCAGTCAAACTAAGACCTCCTTCTACAGCCGATTTACAGATACCAGCCTAGCAGGCCTGCACTAGGTGCAGAATTTTATGCCAATAAACTCAAAAGAACAACGGAAACCTATTACAGTACAGTAATCCTCGCCAATTTCCGCCCAACGGTGGGAACTGCTCGCACAACAAACAAATAGGATGAAAACGATATAGATGTGATGTCCCGCGCATTGGAATAACGTGTACTCGGGAAGGTAGGTACTTCACTCAGCTAATATCAATGGCAGTGGAAGTTTGGAGAGAAAAAATGCAAAATGTACTAGGTAGGTACATGCAGGGATTCGAATGGGAAGTGGGGTGAAGTACTCGGTAATCACTGCAACATGTGATCAGTAATCGCCATAGAAAATAAACCCATGTGGAATTGATAAGGTTGATAAGTTTGATGAGTTTGATGAGTTTGATAAGTTCGTTAATTGTGGTCAGTGAATGATCGAGCCTCGCGGTCAAGACTTTCCATTGAAGTCGACGTCACCGATAAAATTACCGAATCTTGTCTGTCTGTCTGTCTGTCTGTCTTATACTGTAGCTCTGGAAGCATCTGCATGGCATGTCATTCGGTACCGGGGCGAGGAATATTGAATACAAGAGATACCTACCTAGGTACTCCGTATATTCCAACAATACCTACCCGTGGACCTACAGCAGGTGAATGGTATTGATTTTGTGGCCTGATCATACAGCCAGTTGTGCTTACCAAGCTAGGTCATACTGTATATGCTACGCTACGGTATTCTATCCATGAATAGGTTAAAATAAGAGTGCTGACCAAGAGATTATTTGCGGGCTGGAATCCGGGCCCGTCTCGGAACTGGAAACTATCATCCATGTGCCGTTGGAGGATAAATTGGACGTCTCTTTTTCTTTTTTCATACAATTATTCTAGACGACTTCAACGACTTCAATCTTCCGTGTCGACAACTGTTTTCTCGTTCATTTACTTACAAAGGTCTCCCGGAGATATGATAAGGCAATTGGAACGCATCAGATATACCAAAACCTTAGTGCAAGGTAGGTGAAGCTTCACCGCCACCAACCTGCTCAGTGCTGGCTGCTGCATTACACCCGCATTGCATCATGCATACCTGTGTATAATACACATTTATTTCCCCGAGGCTTCATACATGATACATTGATACTACCGGTACTGTATCCATCAATCCACTCGCCCCAATAAGCTTCTTATCAAGGTGGAGAATATATATAATGAGGTGGGTACCTGTCACCCGTGGAGTATGCTGACAGCATCTTGATGGGGGTGGGGGTCCGGGTTTGATGATGGCTGAACATAATAAGGCTGGATGGATGTCTCGACCCGCGAGTTTGGTCCTGTTAGAAACACAACATTATTCATTTCTCTCCTCTCATTGATTCAATCGATAGCACGAACCGTTGAACCCATGCAGATATACGAAGTACCAAGTCCAGTATAGGCCGATATGATGACAGCAGGACACGAGATGTGCCCTGAAAGTTACACTACATACCTAGTAGGTAACCTTACGGTTCTTTACATGAGAATATTGACAACAACAAAGATAGTTTGTTTCCTATAACGAATCTCCTTGGTCCATGCGAATCCTTCGATGAATGCCTAACACATCATATCAGGGGTCGAGAACTTTCCTTTCTTAGACCAGCGAGCGTTCATGATCGTGATGGTCGTTCAATGCTTGGTTCTATACCTTGAATTTATGGCTCAAGGGTGCTGAGCATCAATACCTAGTCTTAGAATTGTGGTACAGTAGGTGGTATCGCATCACGTACTGTAACCATCACCGGATCATTTCGCTTCCTAGAGTCAAGGACATTCTTATTTGACAACTGTCAGCTGAAGTGAGACCAACAATCAGAC